GAAATTTATATACAAATAACTATTGAATAATTGCAAAACGTTCATTTTTGTAAAACTTGCTTCGCAAGCTTCATAGAAATAGATGGTGGTAGTGAGGATGATGATGATGACGACGACGACGACGACTCTATTATTAAAAAAAATCAGAAAGAAGGCTCGAAAAAATCATTTAAAAGAACTATTTCGATTGAAAGGGTAAAAATTAATTTAAAAACCCTTGATATATATTTTGTTATTAAATATAATAATATGATTTTAACACAACCATTGATTACAGCTAGCTAAAGTAGAAGAAAAACTAGAACGTCAACGTAAAAAAGTAAATTTTTTGAATAGATTTTGTTCAAACAATATTTTCTTAATTTTTTAATTAAAAAAAAATTTTTTTTTATGATAGTTGGAAAAAAAAGCAGAAAAACAAAGAGTCAAGCAAATTCAACAAATTAACAAAAAAAAATTTGAAAAATTTGATATGACGCGAGAATTGATTGCCGATATTGAAGCTTCTTTAATGGAAGGAACTTTTGGTTCTTTGATACAATCTAATTTAGAATCAAAATTTATAACAATTAATACAATTCAACACAATATTTCAAAGATCATTAAATGGAGAAGAAAAGTTAGCGCAGAATGGGATGATGAACTTGATGCTTTCATGCCAGTACCTGAAAAAATTCATGATGATGTTTATTTAATGGTTTATCTTCCAATTTCAGAACTGGGCAAGATCATTGGGCAAAATTCCATGAAAGATTATCTACAAAATTTGAAAAATGCATTTACTAATAAAAAGTTGATTATTTTAATAGAAGGTTTTGAAGAATATTGCAGAAAGAAAAGATTACATCACAATCGTAATTTTACTAATGCAGTTCGTGCAAAAATTAATGAAAATCAAGAAGAAGATCAAGAAACAAACGAAATTCAAAGGCACAAGAAAAAACAGCCAGCCAATAATAATAATTTGGGACCTGATCCTGAAAAAATTGAAGAAGAATTGATCTGGCTTCAAATTATTGGGAAATGTTCCATTGTTCACACAAAAGATATAAGTGATACAGTTGAAACTATAGGTTTATTCTCAGTAGACATCTCAACAATTCCTTACAAGTAAGTAGACTTTTTTGAGCTTTTTTTCCCGTTATAATATTATAAATAACCACATATATATGAATGTTAGGAATCGAAATGGAAATTTGAACTTTTTGATTGAAGGTCAAATTCGAACTGGAGTTGATGCTGGTGATACATGGTTACGTATGTTGCAGGAAATACAATTTGTTGCCCCTTCTGTAGCAAAAGGAATTGTTAATAAGTATCCAACAATCAAGTCATTGTATTATGCATATAAACGATGTAAAGATAAAGAAGAAGCCGAAAAATTGTTAACAAGTATAGAGGTATTACTATTATTATAATCAACAATATTTAATTAAACAAATAAATGTTAAAAAATATTCTCTATTAAAGATTTCAGGTATTTGGTTGGGACAAAGAGGTAGATACATTAATAAATCAATTTCAAAAAGGGTCTATGAAATATTAATGGGAAGAAATCCTAATATGGTGATCTCCTAATTTTTTCATTATCACTATTCATTATTTACTATTAATTTAATGAGAAAAAAAAAGAAATTATATTGAAAAAAAAACTAATTAAAATTATATACGTGAAATAACAATTTATCTGCAATTTTTCCTCAATACTACTTTATGATAAAATTTAAAACCATTTAAAAACTCTAAACCTACCACCATCACCAAAACCACCATCCAAATTTCTACCACCTGGTGGACCAAATTCTTTTCTGTTACTTTCAAGATGGTGACTATCGCTTATAGTAATAATCTTCTGTTTGGTTTGTGTCATTGTAAATGGGTTTTGTAGTTTGAGGTATGGAGTGTTCTTGTCTTAGTGGTAACAATTCACCAGGATTTTGTCCTGCAACAGGATGAAGTTCATGACTATGCTGTTGATGATGTCCACCAATAAGATTATATCATCTGGTACGATCGGATCAAATTTGGCTCCTTTGATATTGCACCAGATGGTAACCTTAATAAATTATCACTTTTACCATTTCTATCGTTTTCTGCTTTATTTTTAAATCCCGGATGATGTGGATGGTCCCATTATCATTCAACCCACCATTCAACCCATTTCTGCTTCTTCGTGTCTTGCAGGATCCGCAATATATTCAAGTGGGATTTTGTTTAATAACTTTATTGAATTAGATGATGTTTGTTTGATCTGTCTTGTCTTATCTTTTTCTCAATTGAAAAATTCATAATTCAAAATTTTTCTCGCGCAATAAAAAAAAGTAAATAAATAATAAAACGACTGAATTTATAATAAAACAATCATGTAATGCACATTTATTACTACATAAGTCCGACTAATTATAGCTATGTAAAATGTCCATCCACCCGGAATCGTTGTTTATAATAATCCTTTTTCTTTTTTTAACTATTTCATCAAGATCTTTAACACCAGTTTTTAATAGTCTTACTTTATGAAGTTTTGAACATTGTACCACCATAAAATCAAAATGTTTATCACAATAACCAGAAATATCAGTCAAATCCAATACCTCCAAATTTCGAAATCCAACATAATTTATTTTAGTAATGGAGTCGTCATCATTTTTTTGATCAATTTCAACAACTTTTATCCATTCGTCAAAATCCGATATTTCAATGCCGTGTAATACAATCTCTTTTAATTTTGGACAATAAGATGGTGTCAATCTATTGATTGGATCTAAATCCATACCACGCCATCTTCTCAATTCCAAATATTCCAAATAATGAAGATTTGATAACAATACATCAATTCCTTCTGCACTTATAGCATAAGCATTAAATATCCTTAAAGAAACCAAAAAAGGATGGTTAACAGATAATGACCATAATGATGAATTGCTAATTGTTATATAATGTTCTATTTGAACATGACTTTCTTGACTTCTTGGATAAATATCAAGTTTAGGTGAAAGATCAAGATAACGTAGTGAAGTTCTGTTTTGTTTTACCGATGTGCCATTATTGTTATTACGATTATTCTCTAACATGACATTAAATGTTTCTACTGGTCCGTCACAAAATACCCACGAAAGCCCTTCTATAATCACTCGGTCAACTTCACCAATCATTGTTTGATTCATTCTAAAATTTTGCAAATTCGATAAATTCTTTAACGTGTCAGATATTGATCTTGAATTTAAATTTTTTTTATTAAGTCCACTTATATGCAATAACCGTAAATTTTTCAAAAGTCTTATTATCATTAAAGTCATCGGTGTCAACTCTATATCTAACAATTTTAAAGATTCAAGTTTATTAGTTTTTGTCAAAATGTCTTGTAAAGAGGCATCATTTAAATCTGTACCACATAAATCTAAATAAAGTAATTGCGAACAAGATGCAATTGCAGTAGCAGTTTCATGACGAAGTTTTTGATTTCCAAGTGATAGATGACTTAAGGTTTTATAAGATTTTTGTATAATTAATTGAATTGATTTATCACCGATGATCCATGGTTGTGTTTTTGATGATAGTGATGAATGTGAAACTCGCCATTTTTGATATAATCCTGGTCTACCAGCTTTTGTGAAGGTAGGACTTTTATGATAATACTTTAATTTTAACCATTTATCATTGTATTCATTATCATTATAACCATCATCATCTGAAATCCATGTATCATAACGTGGTTCATTATTTAAATGGATTCCTTGAAAATCCGAATACATTGCTGCTAATTTCTCAAGTGCATAAGAATTAATTAATTGACACCCACTTAAATCTAAACGTTGACCTTTTATATTTGACTTCCATCTTGTTCTTAATATATTAAACAAATGTTGGTTTGTGAGATTCTCACTAAATGGTGATAAATCGAGAAATCTCCAAAATTCTAAGTTATTGTAAATTATCCTTTGAAAACATTTACAAACTTTACTTACACTACATTTATCCAATAGTGATAATTTTCGACATATTGCAATAATAATTTCTGGTGGTAGCGTATCAAGTTTTAAAATATTTTCTTCAATCATTGAATTTTTTTTTGTGATACAGTAATCTTTTGATTAACAATTATTTTAACAAAAAAAGTTATCTAATAATTAGTAAATATGCCTCCAAAATCAGAAAAAAAACCAGCTTCAAAAGCTCCAATAACAACTGCAGCTTCAGGAGAAAAGAAAAAAACAGCTGCAACAGCAACAACTGATAATAAAGTCAAAAGAAAAAAGGCTCGAAAAGAAACATATTCTAGTTATATCTATAAAGTGTTAAAACAAGTCCATCCCGAGACTGGCATCTCAAACAAAGCAATGTCTATTTTTTGTTTAAAAATTTCTATCTCCTTGTTTGGAACTACCTTTGAGAATGTCAAAAACCATTTTTTTTTTTTAAATTAATTTTCTTTTTTAGAGGATGTTAATGTCAAATCACAAATGCCCTAAAACTAACCAAAGCTGGCCACCAATAAGAAGCTGAGGGATCATCAGGATCAACAAATACAACTTTTTTTCTCATATATTTTGGTTCTATTACGCGTTTATGAGCAAATTTGCTTTCCATTTTTAATTACAAAAATTTACTTTATATTTTTGTTCAAAGTTGAGATCTAATTATTATTTATTATTATTATTATTTACAGGACATTTGTCACTCATATAAAATTTTAGTGATCGACATACATTGAAATAATGAAAAAACCAATTTGAAATGTTACATTAATTTTTTATATTGTGCAACGTAACTTGGCAAACATCCTGGCAATAAAAAGTAAGTGATAAACTGGATCTTCCATTGTAGGATTTTTTCTCCTCTACACCAGAATACGTCTAACTCGCTATTATTTAACCTTTTGCAAATTGACGTTTTCAAATATATTCCCGATGTGGGATTTTTTTAAGTGAATAAATTTTTGTATTTTTTTTTCGGTCACAGGGGCGTGGTAAGAGTTTTCCATTTTATGTGATACAAACTATTGTTGAAAGATTTACAGAAAAAAAATAAATGGATCAAGAGACAGCAAAGGCATTGTTCGAAAAAGGAGCCTTTTTATTATTTTTAAATGCTCCAAAATGTCTAGAGGTCCGTAAGTTATTTTCGATTGTTGTTATTTAGATGAACATTATAACAATAATAAATCTAAGATTACAATTTTAATTATTAAAGTTTGGTATTGATCATAATTCATGGAAAACAGGCCCAAAGTTTATGGGAGTAAAACTTATTCCTCCTGGTTTACATTTTGTTTATTACAGGTAGTTTAGCTGTTCTCCTTTTCAATACTTAATTATTACTATAGATTAAATTTAAGTTGTTACTAGTTTACCAAATGATATAAAAGTTACGAAATTTGAAAATTTTTTATATGCCTATGTTAATTATGTTTTATGTCCAATTATTGCAACATAAAACTTGATTATTCATATATATTTTTTCACCACTATTATTTTATTTTATATCTTTAGTACATCTGACAAGTCGGGAAGTTCTGGATTAAGATCTGGGTTTTTTAAATTTTATGAATATAAAGAGGTAGATATTTGCAAATTGTTTTAATTTATGAGAACAATTAACATTCCAATTATATTTTTAAATAATTTGATTGGATTTAATAATTAATTGATAGGTTTTTATTGTAGAATGGGATTATATCATAGAAGACATTAAATTTGAAGATGAACTTGATAACGATCAAAATGAAAGATTAAAATCAGGTGATTTATCTGGTTAACAAATTAATTAGCCAATTAATTAATAATTTGACTGATAGATCAATCAATCAATCAACTGATCAACCGATCAATATTATTATTAAATATTAGATATGCGACAATTTGATGAGTATTTAGGAGCATATCCTCTTGTGCCGCCAACAAATTGGCAAAAATGGAGAAATTTAACAAACTATATCACACCTCGACTTATTTCTATGATACTGACAAATAAAGGGAGAGTCACTAATACTGCATCATCAACTGTTGACGAAGAAGAATTACAGCAAATTGATAATATTTCACGATTTGAAAAAGAAAATGATAAAATATTATTTACAAAAATAGATTTTAAAAGAAGTTGGAGGCCTGGTGCAGTTGGAATGGAAGTGACTAAATATAGTCAGGATAAAAGTTGGTTGTTAATTAACCTTTTACAAAAAGTTTATAATAATGGTGAGATATAGCTATTATTGATCTTTTTTAATTATAAACTTGGTTTTTTTTATTTAAATGACTAAACATTAATATATACGTTTATATATGTGTGTGTGTGTGTGTGTGTGTGTGTGTGTGTGTGTGTGTGTGTGTGTATGTATGTTTAAAAGATTATAAAGAAGTTTTGGGAGAACTTCAACTTTCTTTTGTTTGTCTACTTATGGCACAAAATTATGCAGGACTTATTCAATGGAAAAACATTGTACAATTGATTTGTTCATCCAAGGAGGCACTTGAAACTTATGCCGAAACATTTTATAATGAATTTTTTGGTAATAAATGAATATATAAATACAAGTATATATATATTACCAATAGCTAATATTTTTAATTTATTTGTTTTTGGGACAAATTAGATGTAATTCAATTTCAACTTGAAGAATGTCCAAATGATTTTTTTGAAGATTTGACATATGAAAACAATTTTTTAATTCACGCTATTAAGGTTTTAATAACATTTCTTTAAATATTAAATTTTTTTTTTTTAAAAAACTTAATAACCATCATTAATTTCTTTATTTTATTTATTTATTTTTCTTAAAAAAATTATATATGTATAATAATTAGACATTGCATTCTAACATTATTGATATAGCAAATACCATGGAATTAAATTCATTACAAAGGCCAAAAAAACTCCATGCATTAAAAAGACGTTTGGAAAAATTTAGAGGATTTGTTAATAAAAAATTTAATTGGGATATAGTTAAATATAAAAACGAGGGTGGGATTGAGTATGAAAATTATGAAGAGTATACCGAGGAAGGAGAGTATGCACCAGTAGTAGTGGAACTACCATAATATAAATATTAGCATTTTATTTTACAAAATATATAGATATAATTGATTATTTGAACATTACTTTTTTTTAATGTTATTTATATTATTATCATTTCTGCTTTCTATTATATATAAATAACTAGTCATTTATAAATGTATTTCCATTTATAACATCAAACAAAGTCACAATTGTATATTATAGTTATGAATGTAGTTTTCGTGATGATTTTGAATGTGATAAGCAAACATTAGTATTAATAATCTGCTAACACTGTTTTAAATTCCTTTACCATCCAATAATTGTCACCAGTATTTGCTTCAGAATACCTTTAGTGAACCAGATTATGATAAAAAATTACTATGATATAACCCGAAATGACACAATCGGGATTGCGAAATTGGCCAAGTAATATAAAAAAATATAAACGAATGAAATAAATCGCCACAAGTGAATAAAGGAACTTTATAAAAGCCTTTATAGTTAGTTACCTGGTACCATTAAATATGCTTACAGATTCGCCATAGCTTCCCAGGTACAAGAAAGAGACAGTAATCGAGAACCAAAGCAAATAAATTCATAAGCTTTTTAATTGACGAGTACTGAATTATTGTGAATTAACTGACAAGAGTAGATAGCCCAAAAAACATGCCATACATGTTAAATAATAGGCGTTTAACTGAAATGTTGTCTTGAAATATCACCGTTTAACAAGAATTAAAAAAACTGTAAAACATTATCATTCCAAATATTGTACATATAATGGATAATTTGTAGTGGAAATTCATCAATTCTTTCTTTTATTATTAAATCTATCTAATAACTCTTACTTAAAGATTTGACCAGAAACATAACTTGTCCATTCCGCAGGCTATTCATTCATTCGAAAAATATGTTAATACTAATTTGCCCAGTATAGCGGTTGTGGCACAATTTCAAATTTTTTTTGGGTAACCTCTTTGAATAATTCTGTAGCTAGAGAGACCTAACTATAGGCTCCTCCAAAAAAATAACAAAGATAACGTCCAGTCTAACCATCTAATCTAAAAATCTTTATATAAAGTGTGTGAATGATTTTAAAGCAACTTGGACGAAAAACTAATTAGTTGATCTCATGTCAAGAGTTGAATATAAGTTGGTGAAAGTTGTAGCATTATGATTACCTTGAATCAACTAGCATCTTTCGTAAAAAAGAATAAAGTATATAAACTTTTTCTTCCATATGGTACAAGAAATGTTTATAATTATGATTATTAAAGGAACTTTAGAATGTTAATATTAATATTGTGAGGTCGGAGTAGAGATTGTCACCGTTAATATTGACCAGTTAACGCGACTAAAGTCGATCATCATACTAATTTTTTTTTTTTAATAAATTTTTAATAATAATAATGATCGCGTTAAATTGTAAATATTTGATTATGCATTATTTTAGATAAATAAACGTGGTTTCAAGACAATAAAAAAAAAAATGATGATGGCCGCGTAACAATTCTTTCTGATCATTTACCATAGATCCCTTTTTTTTGGAAAGAAAAATTTTTAATTTTTATATACAATAAATATCCGACCATCTGACGATCATTTTAATAATTGGGAAACTTATACCTCACGCAGTTCAAAATTTTATTAATCAAACCGGGACTGGTGCATTAAGTAAACGTGTTTTTAAAGTCAATTTGAATATAAACTTAAAGTTTTGTCGAGTTTGTCTTATTAATGAATTTAGGATGAAAATTTTAAATTAGGCAAAAAATTTCGTGATTTTTATGAAAACTTTGAGCTTAGTAAAAACCTTTAAAACTCTGTTGAATCATGGATTGCGTCATTAAGTAAGTCCACTTAAAATATCTTGAATTATATATGGTTAAAATTTGGGAAAATTTGATCAAGTACAGTCTACTCTCTCTATAACGACCCTCTCTGTAACGACCACTAAGTAAAATTTCTCTATAACGAACTTCCCTTTTGTCCCCGTTTCAATTTTTTATAATTAATTTCTCTCTCTATAACGACCAAAAGCAGAGAAATTACATATAGGGACAGAGGGTTCGTTATAGAAAGAGTGAACTGTATAGACAACAAAAGTAAAGCCTTATAATTTGCATTTGTCTATTAAGTGTTTTATATGATCAAATTACGGGGTGGTCGGATACTTTTTTAAACCCTTCTCACAAACTAATTTATGCTGACACCGTATTGTAAATATATGTAATCGTTACGTTAAGCACATTTTATTAAGGTAATAATATACATTACAACAAAAAAATTTGACCTTTTATTACATGAAAGTTGAAATACCCAAAGGTAGTTCTATGTAAAAATTCAATCGGAAATTTGCTTTTTTGGATGATTTGCTAATATTTCCATCAATACCATACTGAACTGTTCGAAATTTTTGTAATATAGAGTTTTGATATCAAATATGAGTTTACTTAGTATAGCAGAAAAGGTTTTATTTAAGAAAACGCACTTTATTTAGTAAGTACTTTTTTCATTTGACATTACACAGCATAGGTGGTCGGATATTTATGGTAGGTGAGTGTATATATATATATGTACAAGTAAATATTTTAATGTAAAATTTTTAACTATTGTCATCAATATTATTATTATTTCCAAGTTGTGAAATTTTAATATATAGTAAAGGATTCTCTTTAAGGAACCCATCACCAGACAGATCCTCCAAAACAGAGGAGACTCACCAAAATGAAATCCATGTCTAGCAAAATCTATAATAATAAAGGAATAAAGAATCTTGATTATATCTTTCTTTTAATTCTGTTAACAAAAAAAAAAGTTATGGTTATCTAGCTTATGAATCATGGCACCTCACCATTCACAGTTATTAGTACTCCAACTACACAAATTGCGCCATCGACAGGAATAGAGGAACAAGAGGAACCACTATATGTGAATGCTAAACAAGTAAATATAAAAATTATTTAACCTATAATAAATTACTAAGCTTTATTAATTAATCAACGAATTGATTGATTGTTAGTATCATAGAATTTTAAAAAGAAGAGCAGCCAGAGCAAGATTAGAAGCTGAAAATAAGATACAAAGGGGACGAAAGGTTGTCTATTATTATTATTATGATTATTATTATTACTACTACTACTATACTATTAGCATTATCATCAGCAATATTATTATACTTGTATTAATATATTGTTCGATAATGATATTGTTGCTTGATTATATTGATAGAAATATCTTCATGAATCTCGACATAAACATGCTATGAGACGTCCTCGTGGTCCTGGTGGTAGATTCCTTACAGCAACTGAAATTGCAGAATTAGAACAAAAAAATAAAGCAGAGCAGCAACCACAACAAGATGACGGTCAACAATCACAGCCACCACTACAACAAAAACAAGATGATATTCAACAAGTAGTAGAAGATAATAGTAACAAACAACAACAACAAAATAAAAATAATAATAGCAATAATCATCAGGATAAAAACGACTCTGGCAATTCAAACGCTTTGAATAATATGATGGTATTAGAAAACGGTGTGAAGCAAGAAATTCAAAAATAATAACAAAAAAATATAGGTTTGAAATCAAAGTTTATTATATAAAAATATTCGATTCTTTGATTTTTGAAATGATTTAAATAGTATATATTTTATTATTAAAAAAACGAAATTTGTATTCTTTACATATATGTGTGGAAGGATTTTTTACTGATGGATTTTCTTCACTTAATTTTAAATGATTAAATTTGTACAAATATCATTACCACAATAGGTGCAAAAACTAATGTCAAAAAGCATTTCATAAACAAAATTTTGTCAAGGCTATTTTTTTTTTCCCCAACCTTTGTCTTGATTTTCACATGTATTAAAAAGAGTTTTTTTAAAATTTGTTGGGGTAGATCAAAATAAAAAATTGATATTTTCTACAAATATAGTAAGAAATAAATTACACAAAAAAGTTTCGAAACTATGATTAAATTTTTAGATGAAAGAATATACGAGAAATCTGGAAAATTATTTTCAAATGTTTTAAGGGTGTTTGTCTATTTTTCTTCTATCAAGAAAGCTTTTTTTTTAAATTAAAATAAAAATCAATTAATTAACAATGTCGACAATCCTATTACCATTTTTAAATAACTTGTCAGCGCTCACAGGAGGCGTTCCACTTGATTACCTTCGATTGATTATCAATTTATTAGCAAATTACCCGGCTGCTTTATTTTATAAAACAATACCACACGATAAACCAAATGTTAAACATTTATATTCTATTATGATGTCCATTTTGGTGTGTTTTGTGCTTTTTGATTTATCCAAAGCATTTTACGAATTACTGGCTATCAGCATGATATCTTATTTCATATTATATTATGTTAAAAATGTCTGGGGACATAGGCTCGTGGTAGCTTTGGTATTATTGCACTTGAGTATTAAGTAAGTTGAAAAAGAAGGCCAAAAACCAATGATTTTTTATTCTATCTAGATAAAATATTAGATTCGAATTTATCTTTGTTTGTATATTTCCATTTAGCCATATTTATCGACAAGTTAACAGTCTAACATATGATCAATATGATACAACGGGACCACAAATGGTCCTAATTATTAAACTTACTTCATTCGCATTTAATGTTTATGATGGAAGAAGGCCAGCTCATGTACGTATTAATCATAAAATCTTTTTTTTAATAAGATCACTTATTTTATTCATAATATATATATATATATATATATATATATTTAGGAATTAACATCATATCAAAAACTTAAATCTGTTACTAAAATGCCTTCAATTCTTGAATATCTTGGATTTGTATTTTTTTTTGGTGGATTTATGGTTGGCCCCGCATTTGAATTTATGGATTATAGGCAATTTACAAATATGGAAATGTTTAGAATTGATAATAATAACGACAATAAAGGTATTCGCTAATTAATTTATTTTATTTTTCTTTAATAAGATTTCGTAAAATTAAAATTAATCAAATTAAAAAAGCAAAAAACAACACAAAGAAGTATTATGTACCAAATGGATTTGTACCTTCAATGGGTAAATTACTGTTTGGATTATTTTGGGTTGTTTGTACTTATTTATTGGGTAAAAAATACGATACAGATTGGATTTTAACTAAAGAATATCGATCAAAATCATTATTTAATAGGTATTTTTTTTTTATCCATCTATCTATAATTATTAACGATGATAATAATAACACTTTTTAAAATATTTTTAATAGATTATTATTCATACAAATATCTGCTTTTTGCGCAAGATTTAAATATTATATTGTATGGTTGCTAGCAGAAGGTTCATGTGTTCTTAGTGGCATCGGATTTAATGGTTATGATGGAAAGGGAAATGCAAAATGGTATTGCTAAACAAATAATTTTTATTATAATTTTTATCATCATCGTTATAATATACTTTGGTTAATATATAATTAATGTATAGGGATCGTGTTTCAAACATTAATGTGATAGCTTATGAAACTGCTGATAATCCTAAACACTTATTAGAAGCTTGGAATATGAATACAAATAAATGGTTAAAGAATTATGTTTATTTGAGGATAACGCCTCCCGGGCAAAAGCCGACTTTCCTTTCTACTTTTGCTACCTTTGGTACTAGTGCTGTTTGGCATGGATTTTATCCCGGTTATTATCGTATGTAATCAAGCTTCTCTCTTTTCCACCGTATTTTTATTAATAATAATATTTCTGGTTTTTTTTTTAATAGTAATTAATCAATTAGAATTTTTGTATTTTTAGTGACATTTGCCAGTGGAGCATTTATTCAAAGCCTCCATCGATGTATGTAACTGTTTCGCGTGATTTTGTTGATGCGTGAAAAATTTATTAATATTATTAATATTTTTATCTTTAGCAATTCGTCGTCATATACGCCCAATATTTCTAACGCCCAAATTTAAATCATATAAACACATCTATGATTTTTTGGGTTGGCTATCTACACAAATTATGATAAATTATTTGGTTTTACCGTTCAATATATTGTCATTAGAAGGTTCTCTTTATGCTTGGAAATCGGTTTATTTCTGTGGACATTTGACAATTTTGTTAACGAATATGTTGTTCTGGTTGGGACTTTCGAGATATTGTAGAAAATTGATTAGTATTGGTGGTGGTATTGCTACTACCACCGCCACTACACCCAGTAAAGAAAAAACTCATAAACTGTTTACAAATAATGAAAAAGATTATAAAGAAAAAAATATATAAAAAATTTCTTTATTTTTCATATCAATAAAAAATAATGCCTGTAATAAATGTAATAAACTTGAAAAATTTAAGCTTTGCAAAATTACTTTGCAATATTCGAATACAACCATTATATATACATTAATGCCTTCCCCAAAGTCACAGAGATCAAAATTTAGTGGAATTGGTGATAATTCCTTTATCGCGCATTTTATAGATTTGTTTTCTTCTGCGTTAACAAGTGGAGCGCCATACATATAATGGATGATCAGTTATATTGTTAAATCTCACTGACCAGGAAAGACTCTTATCGGATCTTTTTGATATTGAGTGTGTGAAGTGTTTTCAATGTCTAGCATAAATTGGCTGGTGTTAATGGTTAGTATAATAGGTATGTAAGTTTTTGAGAAGAGTGGTAAAGAGCATAGTGGACACTGTTGCAGATCACAAAAACAACTATTTCATTGGCCAGATTTTTGTCGATCTTATTTCCAATTATCACATAAAATATAATTTTGATTGGTTTGACAATTATTACACAAATTCTAAAAATAAAAAAACGCGGTCGATTAAAAATTTATTCCTAAATACATAGGTAAACTCGATAAGTCAGCCGTGCATGGCTGAGCATGTTTGGCTGACTTATCGAGAGAACTGACTTATCGAGACCGTCTTACAAAGAACACGTGACATAAAAATTTTTTGTGTTAAAAATTTTATTATTATAAAATTAAATAAAAATTACAAATAAATAACGAAATAAATAAATAATAAAACAGATAAAAATATGAAAAAAATTTTTTTTTTTATTCTAAATAAATATCCATGCTAGATTGTATTGAAGAAGTTGCATGTTTTCTACTAATTTTCCATTTTAAATCTCTCAATCCCGAAACAAATAAACTGTTTACTTTTATATCATCATTTTGTTGCAAATAATCAGATAAATTTTGGATACTTTCTAGAGCAATTTTATTAGATACTGGAATCATATCTTCTTCTTCTTCCTCAGTTTCGGGGGCTTCTTGGACTGCTGCAATAATTTCATCATCACTAAGCATTTCACCTGTTCTTAAGTTATTATCAATTTCAATATAATCCCTTGCTCTAATAATGCCAATGTCATCATTCATTTGATCAATGAGTAATTGGATGTCTTCATCCTCTATCTCACTATTATCATCAACTAAATTATTGCTAGTCATTTCTTCAACAGGTAGAATACCTGTCCTTTCCCAACATCTATATATCACATCATCAGTTACATTTTTCCATGACTCTGCAGTCCAATCGATTGCATTTAAGATGTTTAAAGTAGGTATTTCAGTCCCATATTCTTGAAATTGATCAAATGCATCTATCCTATCTTTACACAAAATTTTTCTATAATTTGATTTAAAGGAATGAATTATACCTTGATCAATCGGTTGAAGATGAGCAGTTGTGTTAGGTGGAAGGAAATGTAATCTAATATTACTTAACACCTCATTTTCTCCTAATTGATGTGAAGAAACATTATCAACTAATAGCAAAATATTTCTTTGTTGTCTTCGCATTTGTTCATTAACTTGTTTAATCCATGTTTGGAATATTGAACGCTGCATCCAAGATGAATTATTCCAGTAATACCATACTGGTAAAGTTTTTTTGTCAATGTTACGAATACATTTTGGATTTTTATATTTATGGATAAAAACAGCAGGTAATTTGTGAGTACCAGTTGCATTACATGCAAGCATTATTGTAATTCTGTCTTTAGGTTTCTTTGTACCAGTAATGGGACCACTTGAAAG